TTTAACCATTTGGAAATGACGTGAGTTGTTTTTTCCACCTCATTACCCCAAATTCCACACTATTCAACTGATTTCATCTTTTATCCTTACCAATGATATGTTTCTAATTTGTATATTTTCTTTATAACATAAACCCGAACTTTACATGGTACTGCTAACATCCACTAACTAAATCATCTCAATAAATTTGTACACATTTCTTTTTTAAACATTTAACTTTTTAAACTCTTTACTATCTGGACACTTTTAAAATCTTTTCCAGACTATTCTGTAATTGCTTTTAATACTTTTCATGTCCACATTTTCAATATCCTAAATTTTGCTAGATTATATCCACTCAGTCTTTCTTTGAAATGTTTTCGTTTCTTTCCATAAGTAATTTATTCCTAGCTTTAAACATAACTTCTGACGTTTTAAATTGAAAGGAATAGTTCACCCAAACATGACAATTATCACTCACAAGTGCTTCCGAACTTTTGAGTTTCTTTATTCTGTTGAATATAAAAGAGGATAGTTTGAAAAAAGCTGAAAACCTGTAACCATTAACTTCAGTATTTGAAAGACAAATACTATGGAAGACAATGGTTACAGGTTTCCAGCTTTTTTCAAAGTATCTTCTTTTGTGTTTAAAAAGAAACTCATAAAGGTTTGAAATAAGTAAAGGGCGAGTAAATGATGACCAAATTTGTATCTTTGGGTAACAAAATGTCATGGTTTGGTGGATTTCTACACTAGAAGTAATAAAGCTACATGGCAAATTGAATGCAAATGTTTATCAGAAGCTCATTTTGTAAACATTGTTTTTTTTTTTTCCTGCGTTCATTGAAGCTGAAAACTTTGTTAAAAATGAAATGGCCAGCCTAAAGTCCTGAATTGAACCTGATTGAAAAAAATCCATGCGAAAATCTTTTGTGACATAGTTACGACTAACTCATTAAACTGGGAAAGAGAATTTATGAATAGAATTTATATATGATCACATCTATTCCTTTATTAAAATCAGTAACCTTAATTGTCTTCATCTTTAAAATAAAATACTTTGTATGCTCCAAATTTCCCACTTTATCTATAATTCGAATTGCTTTCTTCTGTATTATACATCAGATTTCACAGCGACTTTAAGTAAACTCTATGAAATTTTACACTGTAATGCATTTAGCAAGCATATTATAAAATAATTTTAATAAAAACGTGACATAAAAAATAATATATTTCTTTTCCTGTCCCACAGGTACCTCTCAAAGAAGCAGAATCAATAACATCTTCAGCACTGAAGAGAAGTTGTGTCTCAAAAAAAAAAAAAGGTTTGAGTTTGGAAACTCTTGTTCGCTGATCAGCTTCTCTTCGTTTTGCATCTGTTATCTTACACGTCTTTATAGTGGGTCGTTACTGAAGGATGAAAAATAATGAAATTCTAGCACTGCTCAAAAACAGTGGTTACCTCAACAGGTCAGTAAAAAGCATTCAGGCAAGCATGACGATCCTCTTACCTCACTTCCTGCCTGATCACACTTCTTCCTATAAGTAAACTGGTAATATGGAAATTAGAATTTGTCGTTCATATCTAATTGGAATAGTAGTGCATATGATGTCGTTTTTGTTTTCCCAAATTTTCAGCTTGACGTTCAAAGCTCTTTAGAGCAATGGTCTCAAACCCAATTCCTGGAGGGCTGCAGCTCTGCATAGTTTAGCTCCAGCCACCTCCAACTCTCACCTGCTTAATAGCACGTTGTAGTCTTGAACACCTAGATTAGTTAGATCAGCTGTGTTTGATTAGGGTTGGAACAGAACCCTGCAGAGCTGTGGCTCTCCAGAAATCAAATTTGAGACCTATGCTTGAGTGTCTTTGTGTTTATGGAAGCTTGGTTCTGCTTTGGAATACAATTTTTTTTTTTTGTCTAATTGTTTTATCACTTTGCAGAAAAAAAGCTTCCATACTTAATTATCAATTAATAAAGAGCTTTGAATGCTACAGAATGGTAAACCAGTATTTTTTTTCTCAAAAGGAAAAAAAATCCGAATTCAAATAATTTCAAACTGCAGAAAAAAAAAAAAACGAGGTTTATAAGTGAACACGCTTTTTCAGCTTCGTTTCAAATCTCCAAAACGAACAATAAAGGACAGGAGTCATGTTTACATGCATGTTTTGTTTTATCACTAACATAATATGCTAACTGGATGGTGTGATGTAAGTTTGTATGGTCACTTAAATGGTCACATGACTTAAGGGAGATAAATGTGTCATATCAAAGTAGCCTGACCAACTTTTTTTTTTTTTATCTGTCTAGTCATAGCATTGAAGCTTGTCGATATTTCCACCCTCCAGTTTGTGTTTTTTGTCATTAACTCAGTAGATATTATTGTAACCGTATTGCATTTTGTGTAACTGCATTGCAGCCAGTGCTCAAATGTGGGCGTTGGGTTTACTGATGGAACCTTAAAAATGGACATTTAAATTAAATGGTTTTACAGTAGTTTTTCAGTGTCTGTTTGTTTGCCATTGTAAAACAAAGGCTTCACCTTGTGCATATACAGTTGAAGTCAGAATCATCATCCCCCCTAAATTATTATCCCCCTGTTTATTATTTTTTTTACCCAATTTCTGTTTAATAGATTTTTTTCAGCACATTTCTAAACATAATAGTTTTAATAACTCATTTCTAATAACTGATTTATTTTATCTTTGCAATGAGGACAGTAAATAATATTTTAAATATTGTTCAAGACACTTCGATACAACTTAAAGTGACATTTAAAGCCTTAACTAGGATAATTAGGTTAACTTACTAGGCTGGATAGAGTAATTAGGCAAGTTATATCAATGGTTTGTTCTGTAGACCATCGAAAACAAAATATAGCTTAAAGGGGCTAATAATTTTGACCTTAATTTATTTTTTTTAAATTAAAAACTGCTTTTATTCTAGCTGAAATAAAACAAATAAGACATTCTCTAGAAGAAAAAACATTATCAGACATACTGTGGAAATTTCCTTGCTCTGTTAAACATCATTTGGGAAATATTTATAGAAGAAAAGAAAATTAAAAGGAGGGCTAATAATTCTGACCTCAACTGTATTTATTAGTTCACAAATCCTTTATAGTAGCACTTTGCTTTAAGGTCCCATTCAATAATGTGAACTAACAGTGAACAATTAAATCTTCTAAAGCATTTCATAACCATAGTCAATGTTAAAGGAACCCTTTTTTGTTTTTGGAAATAGGCTCATTTCACAAGTCAACAGTTGAGTTTTACCATTTTTTGCCATTTTATCAGACACAACAGATCAGTTACCAGATCAATTATTGCAGATTAGTATCACACAAAAGAGAAAATCACATGGGAATCATATTAAGATATCGAAAGTGTTGTTTTTGAATTTGCATGCATTTCAACCTGTTTTTAGGGACTCTTAAAACCAAATTATGACAATTTGTAACACAATACGGGCACTTTAAGTACAGTTAAAGTCAGAATTATTAGCCCCCCTTGAAATTTCAGCCCCCTTTTTATTTTTTTCCCCTAATTATTGTTTAACAGAGCGAAGATTTTGTCAACACATTTCTAAACATAATAGTTTTAATAACTAATTTCTAATAACTGATTTATTTTATCTTTGCCATGATGACAGTAAATAATATTTGACTCATAATTTTTCAAGACACTTCTATACAGGTTAACTGACATTTAAAGGCTTAACTAGGTTAATTAGTTTAACTAGGCAGGTTAGGGTAATTAGGCAAGTCATTGTATACGATAGTTTGTAAATCAAAAAACATATAGCTTAAAGGGGCTAATAATTTTGACCTTAAAGTGGTTTTTAAAAATTCAAAACTACTTTTATTCTAGCCTAAATAAAACAAATAAGACTTTCTCCAGAAGAAAAAATATTATCAGACATACTGTGAAAATGTCCTTGCCCTGTAAACATCATTTGGGAAATATTTAAAAAAGAAATAAAAAATTCAAAGGGGGCTAATAATTCTAACTTTAACTGTATATTTCATAAGTTACATTATTCTGAATAATGTTACTTATTCTGAAGCAGTACAAAATTGAAGAATACTTTCAGAAACTTCCAAGTTATTGGTGTTAAACTTGCACACAGTGGTAAATTCCATAATTATCTGACAAACCCTATGTAACTGGCTGCTTAACTTTCCAGTTTGTCCATTGTAAAGTTCACATTAGTGATGAATGCAAGTTTATTTTTTAGTAAAACATATGTTCTTCGAAATATAGGGAAAAAACTGAGCCCTCAGTGTGTTTATTTCGATCAAATAGAAAACATGTTTTTCATTAATCTGAGGAAAGACTAAACCTAAAGTATGGAACGAAATGTCATGGTGGATTTCTAAACTAGAAGATTGGCTTCTATTAAAGCTACATGACAAATTGAATGCAAGTGTTTATCAGAAGCTCTTTCTGTAACATTGCTTTATTTATTGAAGCTGAAAACATTGGAAAAATGAAGTTTTTGAAGGAGTCCTGATCTGAACCTGATTGAAAAATCCATGAAAAAATCTTTTTTGACAAAGTTATGACTGATGTACAGCCATGGAACTGTAAAAGAGACAGGAAGAAAATGATCAAATACATTTTATGAATTTAATTCACGTATATTATATTATATTATATTATATTATATTATATTATATTATATTATATTGCCAGAGAATAAATGAGAGTGTATAAGTGTTCCCCAGTAATAGGTTGCAGCTGGAAGGGCATCCACTGCGTAAAACATTTGCTGGATAAGTTGCCGATTCATTCTGCTGTGGCGACCCCAGATTAATAATGGGACTAAGCCGAAAAGAAAATGCATTATATTATATTTTATTATATTATGTTATATTATATTCTTGCACGCACATAAAAGGTTACTGTGAAATGTTCGGCCATTGATTTGCAAAAAGCCCCATTAGCTAACACTATTTAATAAAATAAATGAAATGAATATTAAATATAACACAATAAATGGTGAAAAACTGACAAATCCAAGAACATTCAATATTTTTAATGATCTGGAAAGTAAATGCATGAAAACACTTGGAGCTCAAAACTTATCACATATAAATAAATAAATATGAACATCTTTCAGCAATTGAAGGCTGATAATCTAGCTGAGTGCAGTGTTCCTTTGAGACCTGAATTAACAAAATAAAGTGAGAAATATTATTCAGATTAACAGTAGTATTGATACGAACTGCATAATTAAAAATAAAAAACATAATTATCAGTAATAAGAACAAATAAACTCACTTTTTATTTTTCCAGGATGTGATGGTGTTTTTTCCTGCAACACAATAGATGTGGAATGTACAGTTAAACTTGTTCATAAAACACATAAATATACTGGATATTACTTTATACTCACTGATGATGATGACTCCAGTCACTCCAAACTGCTTTAGTTAGTGGGTCCTGAGCTCGAATGCAGAAAGTATACGGCTTTTTGCTATTCACCTTGTAATGTGTCTTGTTGGTTTCATTTTGCTATATGAGAAATGTATATTTTTAATTGTTTGATCTCAATGAACTGAATTTGAAAATAGAAATAAATGTCTTACTTCAACACGATTCCCTGTGTAGTCGCAATCATGACTTCTTGGAACTACTTTGATCTCATAGGAAAGAGGAAAGAAACTGCAGGGGAAACTCCAGGTCTGTGGGGGGCGCCACTCAAACTCATTGTCCTGGATCTTGGTGATGCCCACTTTATCTGGCTTGACTGAAGGTTTGAATGAATCGAGACACAATGAATTATGGGAAAATAGCAGTTTAATACTGTGTTTCTCAACTGGGTGGACCACAAGATGAATTAAACTGATTTAAGATGAATTCCTAAAACATGCTGCGCTATTAAAGGACACTCCACACTTTAAAACCCAAAAAGTAAAGGTAAAAAACTAATCCAAATGAGTACTGTGAACTTAATCCATTTGAGTAAACGAATCAATTTGAGCACAGTAAAACTCAATAAACGGAGAACTCAAACCAAATGAGTACTGTAAACCCCAATAAGTTAAGGCAACACAAACCATGTGAGAAAACTGATTGCTACAAACCATTTGAGTTAAACTAATCTATATGAGTACTGTGAACTTACTCCATTTAAGCTGAAGTAATGAGGTATTTAACTCATTACCTTCAACACTGATTTCAAAACTCTTTTTACATGAGTAGAATTAAGTTTCAGTAAATTTTGAGTTTACTTATTTGATAATGTTGACTTTACAGTGCACTTTTCGGAAATAGGCTCATTTTACAAGTTGTCTAGAGTTAAACAGTTGGTTTTTACCATTTTTGAATCCATTCAGTTGATCTCTGAGTCTGAGAGAGCACTTTTAGCTTAGCTTAGCATAAATCATTGAATCGGATTAGACCATTAGCATCTTGCTACAAAAATTCCACAATAAAAAAGAAAAAATGAAAAGCTGCTATTTCCAAGGTTGATACGTTTTAAAAATTATATTGTCACTCTGGCGTAAGCTATAAAAATGCTTCCATCAGGCCTGGAGTTTGGCAGAGTGGATTCAAAAATAGTAAAACGTAACGGTTTAACTCTAGAGGAGTTGTAAAATTAGCCTATTTCCAAAAGTCTTCCTTTAAATTCTACTGGATAATGTATTAAATTGTACTATACAAGTTCTGAAATAAACACCAAATGAAACCACTTATGGATTTGTTATTACTGGTTCTGAATATTGAGTAAAATGTTTTGTGTGTGTTTTATTAAAAAATATATATTCTGATAACGTGTAAACAAATTCAAGTAATCTATATTATAATTTATTGCATTCATTTATAAAAAAGCTACAGATGGTCCATATAAAATGTTTAATGTTTTAGGACTTTAAATTTTTTGGTGGGAAATTTACATATGGACCCCCCCATCCAGCACCCCCTTAATTGCTCTGGTCAATACAGCACATGTTATTAGACTGGAATTACTCAAACTTAAACTGAAATAGAAATTAAAAATGTAAAACCAAACGACGAACAACTATTTTTAAAATAGTATTGACATAAACACTTTAGAATGCTAAACTACTCTGTAAAAAATGCTGGGTTCCACACAATCGATTTGTGATGGGACAACATGAAGGAATTAAGTTAACTTGTTAAGTTTTTACAAATTTTAATGGATTCAACATAAAACAATTAAGTTGTTGCAATGATGTTTCAGCTTATTTTAAACAAGCAGTTTGAACAAACATCAATTAAGTGTCATTTGTTCAAGCGTTTATGGAAGCCCATTCCTGCCACTGATTAAAATATATATATATGAATACATATAATCAAAAATCATGAAGTCAAAATTGTGGGTTATAAAGTCAGGATCGTGAGTTATGGAGTCAGAATTCCTAGTTAAGTTAAAATTCCGAGTTATAAAGTCAGGATTCCGAGTTATTAAGTCAGAATTACGAGTTATAAAGTCAGAATTGTGAGTTTTAAAGTCAGAATTGCGAGTTTAATCAGAATCTAAGAATCTAAGTTCTGAGTTATAAAGTCAGAATACTGAGTTATAAAGTTGCAATTCTGAATTATAAAGTCGCAATTCTGAGTTATACTGACTTTATAACTCAGAATTCTGACTTTATCAATGTTTTTACATTGTATTTTTTTTTATTTATTAATTCAGTGGCGGGAACGGGCTTTCATATTTATCTATAATTTTGGAGCTACAACTTTTATTGCTGAGCTACACATTCGCTCTAAATACGGCTATAACATGTAGTGACCACCCGGGGGCACACAAAGCTCTCACCAATGTCTCGGATGAAGAAAGTCCTGTGATGTTCCTCCAGCCTGAACATGTTTCTGACGAGCAGCGTGAGGTTGATGCTCAAAGGCTCTTCCGAATACGGACAATAATCCTTATCGATGCAGGTCAGTTCCGAGATATTAGAGTCCAGGGTGCAGTTGAGGTCAGATGAGTTTCTGCGTAAACACAAGGACAGATTTGATTTGTACTGTTTTACATACTATAATCCTGATTATAATTTCTTTACTAAACTGTTAATCCCGAATGTTCATTACCTGATGGCAGCGAAATATACCACGGCTTTGTGGGTTCGTTCATGATGCCATTTCCAGGAGCAATGAAATTGTCCATTATAGTTTCTGGCCGAGCAAGACACGAATTCTACAGAGACCAGAAGTTTCTTTAGACACAATGAAAAAACATCAACTTTACACAACGTCAGTGTTCTTAATGTTACACTGGCGTCCTATTTGTTAAAAAAATAAATAAATAAAAAACATTTCAATAATAATAAAAACATCTAATTTAGTAATATAATGTTCACATTTTCAATGTTTTTAGGGATATATTTTAAAGGTTGCTGTAGGTCAAACTATACACATTATGTGTCTAATATTTTCTTTTTGTTGTTTACATGCAGATATAAACACCTATTTTACAAGAAATGTGTGTTGTGGATACTTAACATGTCTATTGGTGCTCTAGAACGGCCAGTTTCTGACTGTTTAATGATATATTTTTTTCCTAGCATTGATTAGCGATTATGCATTCACATTGGTATAAACCATTATAGGGTGGGTCAAATTTATATTTATATTATACATTTTTAATGATTAATATTTAAAATATAGATTGGAGAAAGCTGTTTCTTAGTATTAAAGGGCTGACCCTCCCATACGTCTTGTTTTGATGTCTTTCAGGGAGATCAAGCATTAATTGGGGGGGGGGTCCAATCCCACCCAAACCCCCCTGTCATTCGCACCCTGATTAAAGGCATCACAAGGCCAGCAGTAAGATCAGCAGTAAAAATATTAAAAGTCCCTTTATATTAAGATATAAGTATTTTATATTAAAAAAAAAAAAAAAAAATATATATATATATATATATATATATATATATATATATATATATATATATATATATATATATATATATATTATTTATTTATACATTCATTTTCTTTTCGACTTAGTCCCTTCATTAATCTGGGGTCATCACAGCGGAATGAACCACCAACTCATCCGGCATATATTTTATGTAGCGGAGGCCTTTCCAGCAGCAGCCCATCACTATTATATATATAATAAAGTGCAAAATTCTTAGGCCACTAGTATTTTCACAAAAAAAAAAAAAAAAAACGTTTCAAGTCTTTTATTTCTATATTTTTCTGCATGTCTGTTTGAAATATCGATTTACATTTCCAAAGATTACTTTTGTCATTAATTGTGATTATACTGTGAGATTAATGTCCGACAACAAGTTTCCCAAACAACGACGTAACTCGCGGCTAAACTATCATAGTACGATGCATTGTTTGGGAAAAGAACAATGTAGTGACGAGTGTTTCCCAAACCCCGTAATTTCTCTGTCACAGATCCATTGTTTGAACCACGTTAATTATAATGTAAAACGCCCATAATGATGCTCTAAATCAGGGGTGTCCAAACTCATTCCTGGAGGGCTGGTGTCCTGCAGATTTTAGCTCCAACTTGTCTCAACACACCTGCAAGGATGTTTCTATGTTAGAATGTTCTAAACGAATAGGGCATAGGGGGAATAATTTGAATAGAACACAGCCAGGAACTGTGTTTCTAACTGCAGCTCCAGAGGTGTAGTTGCAAGTGCTCAAGTTTGCGACCCAGTTTGCGAAAGTTCGTTGGAACAACAGATTTGGGAAACATCGAATCAATGAACTTTGATTGTAACGACGGAACTTGCGACCTTAGTTGGCTAATGATAGTTTTCGTAAACTCACCCCTGATCATCATCCAGAACAAACTGAGACAAACTAAATCGTTGTCGCCAGGGCAGCCAGAGCGATCGGTGTGAATGCACAGTAAGTTCTTTCATTCGTCAGAGGTTGCCACAGTGGGATGAACCGCCAACCTAGCCATCATATATTTTACATGGCGAATCCCCTTCTAGCTGCAACCCAGTACTGGAAAACACCTATACGCACTCATTCATACACATTCAAAACAGCCAATTTAGTTTATTCAATTCGCCTATAGCGCATGTCTTTGGACTGTGGGGGAAACCGGAGAATGCAGACTCCACACAGAAATTTTCAACTGGCCCAGCCAGGACTCGAACCTGCGACTTTCTTGGTGTGAGGCAACAGAGCTAACCACTGAGTCACTGTGCTGCCTAATTCTGATTTCAACTGTATGTATGTATGTATATATGTATGTATATATGTATGTGTATGTATATATATATATGGAGTAGGGTTAACTTTTAATTGATAGGACAGTGGAAAGTATTGACAGGGAATCATGGTGAGCAGAGTGAGAAAGGTAAAGGACCGGAAAAGGATCTAGAGCCAGGAATCTAACTTGGATCACCTTGAGCACTTCTCTATATGTTGACGCATTTAACCACAAGGATAGTCTTGTAAACTGAAAGCTTCTCCAACAATAGTCAATAAAAACCAAACCACATTCAGATAAAGAGCTTCATCATTGTACTTTCATGATTACCATGAACACCGGTGTAAGCATGAATCAGACATGTTGTTCACATTTACCTTTGCTGCTGGATTGTTTAAGAAGTAGAGCTTTATGAAACTTGACTGGATGCACCAGGAGTATTGTGTAATTCAGGAAGTCTCTGTTTGGTCTGTGACACGTGAAGTTTCCTCCGAGCAGTCCATTTATCGTAACATTGATGCGGTTTCCTGTTTCCAAAATGCTTTTCCCGTTCTTCTCCCAGTGAATCTGCTCTCCTTCATATTGCTCTCCGCAATGCAGTGGCACCGTAAAGCTGGACAACTCCTGCATGTCCGAGTCCACCACTGCAACTAAAAAGAGCATATTAGCTGACATGTAACCTGATTTTATAGCATAGTAAATGAAAAATTTGTTTTTTTCAAACGTAAGATGTTTGAGAAAAAAAAAACAACTTGGAAAAAATATATTAGCTTAATGTTAAAATCACGTATATGTTAAATACTTGATTCTGTTTGGCTGTTGAACATTCTAAGGTGTGCAGTTATTTTCAGATAAACGCACAGCAGAAGCAGATCAGGCAGGTGTTGACTGCAGTTCCATATCACTACGCTCAGTGATTCAAAACTCAAGAAACTAATTAAAGTATTATTAAACAAAAGGCTTTGGATGAAATGTGTAAGAAAGTAGTCCTACACAACATGACTTGAAGTCTGGTAACATTACAAGGTGTGCAATTATTCTCAAATACATTCACAGATAAAGTAGTTCCAAGCGGATTCTGACTGCATTACAGCTGTATATCACTACGCCCAATGATTTTAGTTATTTCACAGCCTACATCAGGGGTGTCCAAACTCAGTCCTGGAGGGCCGGTGTCCTGCATAGTTTAGCTCAAACTTCCTTCAACAAACCTCTTTGGAAGTTTCTTGTATACCTAGAAAGAGCTTGATTAGCTGGTTCAGGTGTGTTTAACTGGGGTTGGAATTAAAATATGGGCGACGCAGTGGCGCAGTAGTGATGTCACCTCACAGCAAGAAGGTCGCTGGTATTTCTGTGTGAAGTTTGCATGTTTTCCCTGCGTTCACGTGGGTTTCCTCCGGGTGCTCCGGTTTCCCCCACAGGCCAAAGACATGCGGTACAGGTGAATTGAATAGGCTAAATTGTCTGTAGTGTATGAGTGTGTGTGGATTTCCCATAGATGGATTGCGGCTGAAAGGGCATCCGCTGCGTAAAAACGTGCTGGATAAGTTGGCGGTTCACTCCGCTGTGGCAACCCCGGATTAATAAAGGGGCTAAGTCGAAAAGAAAATGAATGAATGAATAGAATTAAATATGCAGGACATCAGCCCTCCAGGACCGAGTTTGAACACCCCTGGCCTACATTGTAAAGGTGTGCTAAGCTCACAGAGTTTCAGGTAGATTTACGCTAGTTCCATATCATTATGCCTAATCATATTATTTTGCATTCTAAAACTCTCATGAATCAAATCAAAATATAATAAAAGGAAGAGAAGAGAAGCGTAAGAAAGTAGTCCTACACACAATGACTGTAGGTGTGGTACTACATTTACCAGTTACAGTCATTGTGTCTATTACTACTTTCTTACGCATATCACCCAATGCCTGTTATTATATTTCGATTTGATTCTTGAGAGTTGTAGAATGTAAAATAATAACTAATATGAGAAAATTAAGCACAATCTCCACCTCACTTGTGGATTATTTTCTAATCATTTAGTTGATTTTAATTCACAGCCCATTGCTTTCATATGCGCCACAAATGAAACCTGTGGTTCTGGAATATTTGGATGTGAACTCAGGGATCACATGGTCACATGTTTTGTAAATGAAATGAAAAAGTTCCAAAACCACACTTTGTTTGTCTTTCACATGTGATTTCAGGCTAGTTTAGCTCATGTGATGCCTATGGTTTTTCTGTAAGGGTAGGAAAATACTGAATGCTAATGTGGTAAAAGACAAGATGTTGCCTGAATCAAATTACAAATCACAAAAGCGATTTATCATACGAACAGTATAAACTCAATTAGTGAGATATTTCAATCCACTTAAATTTGCTGAGTAAATTGATTTGTGTTGGGACAACTTGAATGAATTGTGTTGAACACTGGATTGTTTTACAGTGTACAAGTCTGTATTTTTTAACATTTCAAATGACTTTTTTAAAACTAAAATTTGAAAACACCGTATGGGTAAGATAATGCTAAGAGATATGTGTAAAAATTAAACAACTTACTTATTCTGACATGTATAGTTGACGTCAAAATTATTAGCCCCCTGTTTATTTTTTCCCCAATTTCTGTTTAACGGAAATAAAAAAAATTTTGACACATTTCTAATTATAATAGTTTTGTTATCTCATTTCTAATAACTGATTTATTTTATCTTTGCCATGATGACAGTAAATAACATTTGACTAGATATTGTTCCAAGACCCTTCTATACAACTTAAAGTGACATTTAAAGGCTTAACTAGGCAGGTTAGGGTAATTAGGCAAGTTATTGTATAATGATGGTTTGTTCTGTAGACTATCGAAAAAAATACATAGCTTAAATGGGCTAATAATTTTGACCCTTAAATGGTGTTTAAAAAATTTAAAACTGCTTTTATTCTAGCCAAAATAAAACAAATAAGACATTCTCCAGAAGAAAAAATATTATCAGACATACTGGCAACATTTCCTTGCTCTGTTAAATATCATTTGGGAAATATTTAAAAAAAAAAAAACAAAAACAAAGGGGGGCTAATAGTTATGACTTTACATATGAAGAGTTCAGATGCAAAAGCCGCTAAACGCCACTTCCGCATTGAGTGAATTCTTTAGGCACATACTACACCATCAACAAATAGATTTGCTTCAAATCATCTAAATCCCAGCGTCAGTGCATTCAGAAATAACAGTTTGTAGGCAAAACCCACTAAACACCACTTGCCTTTGACAGCAAAAGCCGCTATATCCTGAGAACCAATCAGAAGGCGTGAATTAAATCATATGTTTTCAATGTAGCAGCGTGCTGATACGCCGGCTTTATGAGGAGACATATTGCGCTTTCGATTTCGATTTTAAAAGACGAAGTTTGATGAACTGGATGAGCCTGTCCGACTGTCAATGAATGGCAAATGAAAACGTCCCTAACCTCAAAACTCTGCATTGTAAGAAGAAGAAAACACAATGTACAGTCAGAAGTGAAGCATGTATTCATAACGTGTTTTGGCGCAGCAATATTTTTTTGAATGAGTCCGATTTACTATACATTAAATGGCAACTACATTTCACAAAAGACAGAGTTAAGATGTCGTTCTTTTCTCCCACGTGGAAGCTATAAAGATAAACACGGAATGGCAGCTTCTAAAAGTGTCTGAGAGACTTTCCCTTTTTGCCCAGTAGGCCTAGCTTGTGTTTTATTTGCTAATTTTTAAAAAGATGAATGCAATGTGTAAAACTATACATTATTTGTATTACTTCATAATACCTAAACATCTGATAAACTTTTTATATTAATGGACAATGCACAGATATTGATGTTTCATAATAATGTTTTACACTACATTATTTTAATCTACTAAGCTTAGCTTATAAGGTTACATTGTTCTACTTACATTAAATCTAAATCCCAAATATCAGAGATGTCAACAGATGCTTAAGATTTAATTAAAGTCAGTTTTAATGTTATTCTTTAATGCACTTAATTGACATATTTCATTCATTCATTTTCCTTCTGTTTTTTCCCTGGTTTACCACAGTGGAATTAACCGCCAATGACTTGACAGATTTATATATTTTACATTTTAGTTGGTTTGTGTAATGGGTTTTATGTTTGGTAAAATAATTTCTAATGGCATCTTCATTTTCAACTAATTGCAATGTCTTATTCCAATAGGTGGATTTAGAGGGTTTTGCATAAAAGCAGACGTGGATTTAGCTGGTTTTTACACAAAAGAAAATCTACCTTGTTAAAAACCAAAGAATTGTCTAAAGTGACATTTTTGAAAAAAAGGTGTTTTATTTACTAGCTAATAACCTTTTCATTACATATAAAATGAAACTTTTGAACCTTATCTGAGAAGCCTGATGGAAAATGCTCATTTACAAGAAAAGAGGTCTGATGGACTTAGAGGTTTTTGCATCTGAAAGTCAGAATTATTAGCGCCTTTTTGAATTTTCTTTCTTTTTTAAATATTTCCCAAATGATGTTTAACAGAGCAAGGAAATTTTCAGTTTGATAATATTTTTTTTCTTCTGGAAAACATCTTATTTGTTTTATTTCGCTAGAATAAAAGCAGTTTTAAGTTTTTTAAAAGCCATTTCAAGAACAAATTTTTTAGCCCCTTTAAGTTATATTTTTCCCCCGATAGTCTACAGAACAAAACCATCGCTATACAATAACTTGCCTAATTACCCTAGTTAACCTATTTAACCTAGTTAAGCCTTTAAATGTCACTCTAAGCTGTATAGAAGTGTTTTGAAAAAATATCTAGTCAAATATTATTTATTGTCATCGTGGCAAAGATAAAATAAATCAGCTATTAGAGATGAGTTATTAAAACTATTATGTTTAGAAATGTGTTGAAAAAAATCTCGCTGTTAAACAGAAATTGTGGAAAAAATAAACATGAGGCTAATAACTCCAACTTCAACTGTATATATATATATATATATATATATATATATATATATATATATATATGTATTCATATCTTGTCGGCTTAGTCCCTTTATTAATCTGGGGTTGCCACAGCGGAATGAACCACCAACTTATCCAGCAAGTTTTTACACAGCGGATGCCCTTCCAGCCGCAACCCATCTCTTGGAAATTATATAAAAAAAATACATATATACATACTGCCATAAGCTAGAGAGAAGATAAATAAGATTTTAGCAGCAATAGTTACCATTAGGCTGGATGACCCTCAGTGAAGTGCTGTCCGCTAACTGAAGAACAGTTTGCAGAATAAGAAAGAAAATCTTCTTCATCTGAAGAAACAAAACAATTACATAGTGTTACCTATCACATTATTTTGTATAAATATTACAAAAATATTTATTTACTTATTCAAATGTTGTTTAAGTGTTTATGTATGTTTTTTTTTACATATTACGATTACGATTTTTGATTTATTAAAAACTTCAATCTTATCAATTGGTTTGACATATTATGGGAAAAATATTGTATTTTTTTGTTTGTTTTATTTAAGTAAGTCATGAAAAAAAATCATACATGTCAATGTGTTTTACATTCATTTGTTAATTTTTCTTCAGCTTAGTCCCTTTATTCATCAGGGGTCGCCACAGCACAATTAACCACCAACACATACAGCAAATGTTTAACACAATGGATGCCCTTCCAGCTGCAAAGTTGTTATATATATATATATATATATATATATATATATATATATATATCGTTGAAGTCAGAATTATTAGCCCCCCTGAATTATTAACACCCCCATTTATTTTTTCTTCAATTTCTGTTTAACAAAGAGAAGATTATTTCAACACATTTCTAAACATAATAGTTTTAATAACTCATTTCTAATAACTGATTTCTTTTATATTTGTCATGGTGACAGTAAATAATATTTGACTAGATATTTTTCAAGACACAGCTTAAAGTGACATTTAAAGCCTTAGCAGGTTAGTGTAATTAGACGTTATTGTAATGATGTTTTTTTCTGTAGACAATGAGGAAAAAATATAGCTTAAAGGGGCTAATTGTAGGGGCTAACGTGACTTCACGTAAAATTATTTTGTAATAATTATATATATATATTTATATATATATATATATATATATATATATATATATATATATATATATATATATATATATATAAAGTCATTAAAAAGTCATGAAAACAATCATAAATATTACTTGTGTTTTATCAATTCATTAGACAAAAAGTTATTCATTTTGATGCATAATTGAATTGAATTTATTTATTTTTAATTTATTATTAACAATATCTCAAATGTTAAATTAATCAATTAATTTCACATATTAAAGGGAAAAAAATATTGGATTTATTTTTTTGCTCACATTTTATAAAGGTAGTTTTGACAAAAAAAATAAAAAATAAACATTAACTCAAGGATTTATTTGGTTTGGTTTAATTACTTGTTTTGCATATTAATTTTATTTCCACTTCATGTGATCTACTTAACTCTAGTGTTTAATTTATAAATTAGCTTTACATGTTAAGAAACAAAATACTGGATTTATTTTTCTTTGCGTTGTTATTATTATTATTATTTTAAGTTAGTCATAATAAAAAGAAAAAGCAAATCTTTAATTTATTTGTTTTAGATAAAGTAAAAAAAAAATACTGAATTAATTTTAATATTTAAATTAATTTAATTTCTAAAAAGTTATTCATCAAGAAATCATCAACATACCACTAATAAATATTCTTTAAACAAACGTTCTCTATGTAGACAAACAAAGATGACCCATTTCTTTAAACACGATCTTACCTTGAGAAGCGAATGAGTTGTGGCTATTCTCTGCTTTCCCTTTCACTGCAGCAGTACCTGAAGCAGAGCAGCTTTTATATGAGTCTGCAATACAGAACTTGTGAATTTCCACAAGCAGAAGTAACAAAGCTCTGTATAAAAGAGCATAGAAACTAACGTGAAGCCAGTTTTCAATTGGGATTTCCATCAGCTTTGTGTGTGTTGTTGTTTCATAATTAAATCATCTTCATTTATAGGTGTATTCTTATTTGTTTTCTGCTTTTGTTTTCGGTCAGTCAAATCCCCTTGAATAAAGTAAACACACTCACTCATCTTAATAACCCTGTATTAAATAAGTGTATATTTTTGTTCTGCACATTAGAAGCTTAAAAAATAGTCATTAATTGTGCTTTTAAGGAGATGATGGAGCTTCAATTTGCATTAAGTTAATGTGTTTCTATCAGTTTTTCTGTATTTATTATAGGTTTGGGTTTGAGTAAAACTTTAGTGTTTTTCTTTATAACCTGCTCTACCAAATGCCTGACTTTTTAGATAATGACTGTTAAAGTCATTTAAAGAATGACTGTTTTAAATTTAAATTTAAAATGGTTTACACACCACATCGTTGGCTTACAAAATTAAAAAAAATCAAACAAACATCCTGTTGCACTACTACACTTAATCTGGGTTTTACTGTTAAAAAAAAAAAGAAAACTAGTTAAATGAGAACCTGAAATATTTGATGGCATATTTCAAAAAGTAAAGATGGTTTAGTATTCAAAAATGTTTTATTTAGAATTTTTTTTAAAATAAATTGGACTAACACTTCATATTTTTAGATTTTTTATAGTATATATATATATATATATATATATATATATATATATATATATATATATATATTAATTCCAGTACTTTTACCGTAAACCGACATATAAATTATTTGGTGAGGTTGATATTTTAGAAATCATGGCATGTGTTGACAAAAAAATGCATTGAGTGTGTTAACTAGCGACATTAGGAGTCAAGAAATGCAATCTATTTTTTTTTTCTTGGTGGGACGAAATGTCAAATACAAATAATGAATAAAGAAAGTAGAAATAATGTTGACATTTAAGGTCAGATTTATCATTTGTTTTGAATGAACATCAAAGTTTATTAACTTCTGAAGTTTAAACATGAAAAAACATTGTATAGAAATAAATATATGTTATAAAAAATGTTAAGTTTATATTAATTTACATTTTTTCATATTATATGTATTAATTTTTACACGTTTTTAATTTTATTACTAGTCATTTGCTATTAGTCATAAACAACATATATTACCCCGTGTTTTGTTTGGCAATTTATTTTACATGTTAAGGACAAAATATTTTTAACATTAATATTATTATATTTTTTATTATTATCTGATTAATGTCAATATTATTATTGTACGTTAGTCACAAGAGGAAAAAAAGCACACAACATTCTATGTGTTACTCAAGTCAAGTGTTTAATTTAACAATTTGTTTTACAAATCAAGAAAAATATATTTGATTAACTTTTATAATTAAATTAAATAAAAAATATATATTGTTGTAAAAAATATATGTGTGTGTATATATATATATATATATATATATATATATATATATATATATATATATATATATATATACACACACACACGCACACACACACACACACACACACACACAAATACATACATATACAGTTGAAGTCAGAATTATTAGCTCTCCTTTGATTTTTTTCCCCCAAATTATGTTTATCAGGGCAAGGAAATTTTCACATTATGTCTGATAATATTTTTTTTTTTTTTTTTTGGAGAAAGTCTTATTTGTTTTATTTCGGCTAGAATAAAAGCAGTTTTAATAAAAAAAAAATAAAATAAAAAATAAAACATTCTAAGGTCAAAATTATTAGCCCCTTTCAGCTATATTTTTCATTCGATAGTCTACAAAAACAAACTGTCATTATAACTTACCTAATTACCCTAACCTACCTAGTTACCCTAATTAACCTAGTTAAGCTTTTAAGTTGCTCTTTAAGCTGAATACTAGTGTCTATAATATAGCTAGTAAAATATTATGTACTGTCATCATGGCAAAGATAAAATAATTTAGTTATTAGAGATGAGTTATTAAAACTATAATGTTTAGAACTGTGCTGAAAAAATCTTCTTTCTTAAACAGAAATTGGGGAAAAATAAACGGGAAATAATTCAGGGGGTTTAATAATTCTGACTTCAACTCTCTCTCTCTCTCTCTCTCTCTCTCTCTCTATCTATCTATCTATCTTTCATAATAATAATAATAAAACATATATTACTATTATTATAATATTTTTTTATTCGATTGTAATTTTTCATACTCAATATTTAATTTTATTTTTTAAGACAGAGAATGTGTCAATCGAAGTCATTTAGACAGCAGTGACACTTGTCCCATAGAGTGAATGTCACTTTCTACTGACGTGTGAAAGTGCAAACCATAAGAGAAGTGCGCACCTTTATCCACAAACCAAAGCTCACGTTCAAAGGGACTTTTTGGCGATATTCACCGCAAAATATTGTACCACAGTGGAACTCTGAAACAGCGGTGTGAGAAAACTACTTGAGAACCATTTAATACAAAACCTACATGTATTTTAAATATGACACAAAAAAGTAGGTCAAATGTGGTTTAAACGGTCCTTTCTGTGGGCTCGTTAAAAGTCTTAAAGAGACAGTCCACTCAAAACTGAAAACTCAGTCATCATTCATGCTCCATTCATGTGTTAAAACTATAAGGAAGATACTAAAGAATGTTGGAAAAACCGCCATTGACTTCCATAGTATTTTTTGTTCCTGCTTTGAATGTCTCCTTTTTTCCCTCCTTCTTGTTTTGTGTTCAACAGAAATTCTTAAAAGTTTAAAAACCACTTCAGTGTGAGTAAATTATGAAATTGTCATTTTAGGGTGAACTATCGCTTTAAATTCACTGAAATATTGTATTCTAGTACTTAAACCATTTTGATTAATTTTCCTATAGTCTTTTCAGCTTTTGAAATATTTATACACACACACATTTTTTCACCAGATGTTGATAACAGCCAAAGAAATCCATATATGGGCCATACTTCAACTACGGCACTTTTAGCCTTGTGAAGTAAAAAAAAAAAAAAAATGTTCAAAATGAACGTAACATAGCCTCACAAGTTTAAACAATTTTCTAGTTTTAAGATCTGTAAGAGGACAAACTCGGATAAGAAGAGAAACATTTTTTCCATTGTGAAGTGAACAAATGTCAATTCCACCACATCTCAATATACCAGTTTTCTCATGATGATCTCACAAGAAAACGTTTTACGTTTTGTCAGTTAGTAGCTAATTCGTACGAGTTCAGTCGTACGAAATGGTACGATTTTATAAAGGAGGCGTGGCACCTAACCCCACCCCTAACCCCAACCGTCATATGCTGAGCTAGTGTTCTTCCCATACTGATAAACTTCCAGTGACCTGTTATTTTAAACTTTTTTCCATTTTATACGGTTCCTTTTACAGCATCGATGTTGTAATGTCAATAAAATACATTCAGTTAAATAAACTTTGGCATTCATTTAGTTGCTCAAGCATAAAACGAGACAAAAAGCCGTTTTCTCGCACACGCCCGTCAGAATTGGCAGGATAGCGCAGAAGCTCCATTGAATATACAAGGGGTAAAATAAATGCTCATATTATAAAGACATGGCGGATGAAAATGTAATTTAATGCAAAGCTTTTTGTACAACCCAAGACCCACTTTATATCGGATATCACTCAGCCAGTGGAGATCGCTGATTTTTAAAGAAAACAGACCTTAAACGTGCCGGTTTTTGGATTGAATATAGTTCGCCGGAAGTGCTTAACCCAGGTTACTGGCAAGTCCTATTAACATGCTTCGGCATATACCCTATTGTACGAATTAGATCGTACGAATTTATACGAATTAAATGAAAAAGTTAGGAATTGCTGTGAGATTGTGTTATAATATACACACTGAAAAAAAAATTATTGAAAGATGATTCCTTGGATTTACTAAATCTTTTTAAGTTAAGTGGTTGTAAACAATTTATTTGGGCTGAATTTAAACAAACAAATTAAGTTGAACATCACTAAATGTACTTTTTTTAAATTCAACACATACAAATTGTTTGCAACAATTTTGCAGGCCATTTTTTTTCAGTGCAGCTTTTATTTCAAAATGAAATAAATTATGGCAGTCAAACATTTTCTCAAAATCATTTTTGTATATAGTTTAACCAATCTTTCCACAATATATATAATAAATAAACATTTGTCAATTAAATAAATGAGTTGTATGCTGAATTGTACACCTGTCACACTCTAAAATATCATATTAATTTGGTTTAGAGATTATTAGAAAATAAATAAACTGAAGTTGTGTAATAAATAGAGCATGAACTTATACATTGTGAATACACTTTTAATGTGTGATGAGAACTTTTTAAATATTTTTTTTAAATATGTGTGGTGGTGGTGGAAATGACATTTCAACAGTTTATTGTGAAAAAATGAAAAACAGCTTCACCGATTAGCTTTGAGTTGATACTAGCCTTTCATGTAGACAAAACACTCTTATTTACCTTCATTTTGTTTGGTTTTTAAAAACATGTTTAAAGGTACTGGATGTTTGGAAAAGATGTAGAATAAATGTATTTCCTTATCAACCAATATTTACAAGTGTTGTTGATAAAAATGTAAATTCCCTCCATCCTTGACATGTGTTGATGGCACTATTCATTTTCATAGAAACCACCTAAATAATCTTTAACACAAACTTTTTAAAGCGACATTACAGTGTTGTGGTGGACACTGATAGTCTGCGACAGCTATATTTTGTGTGAAAAAATTATATTGATAATAGTCTCACTTTAATAACTATAAAATATATATTTCACTGGTGCTTAATTAGGATACAATAATAGATACTGGATAAATATTATTTTAAAAAGTTATTTTCATTGTTTAATTTTAAAACTCTGGGTGTGCGACAAGGTGAAAACAGTGACTTTGACACCTAAAAGGAGGTTTAATAATATGAAAAAATATAATTTAATATAGTTATTTTGCCAAAGAAAGAGGAATTATATATATATATATATATATATATATATATATATATATATATATATATATATATATATATATGTGTGTGTGTGTGTGTGTAGGATATATGATCAAAGGACATAAGTGACCGTAGATGAAGAATTACCCATATGCAAAGAAAACAAATCTAATTAGTTTACAAAGTACAAA